CTCTTTAAGGTTTAAGGTTAGGTTGTGTATCTGAGACATTTCTTCCTTCTTTAGGAAGGTCTGGATTGCTATATACTTCCCTCTTATGACTGCCTTTGCTGCGTCCCAGAGGTTTTGGCCTGCGGTGTTATCATTTTCATTGGCTTCCATGTATTTTTTAATTTCCTCTTTAACTTCTTGGTTAACCCATTCATTCTTTAGTAGGATATTCTTTAATCTCCGAGCATTTGTTGTCTTTACACATTTTTTGTTGTGGTTGATTTTGAGTTTTATAGCGTTGTGATCTGAAAATATGCACGGTATGATTTTGACCTTTTTGTACTTGTTGAGGGCTGATTTGTGTTCCAGTGGTGATCTGTTCTGGAAAATGTTCCATGTGCACTCGAGAAGAATGCGTATTCTGCTGCTTTAGGATGAAATGTTCTGAATATATCTGTTAAGTCCATCTCATCCAGTGTGTCATTCAAAGCCATTGTTTCTTTGTTGATTTTATGCTTAGATGATCTGTCCATTGCTGTAGGTGGGGTGTTGAAGTCCCTTATGGTATTATTGTCAATGAGTTTCTGTATGTGTGTGATTCATTGATTTATATTTTTAGGGCTTTCCACGTTGGGGCATAAATGTTTACAATTGTTAGATCTTCTTGGTGGATAGACCCCTTAATTATGATATAATGCCTGTGTTCATCTCTTGTTACAGTCTTTATTTTACAACCTAGATTGTCATATAAGTATGGCTACTCTGTCATTTTTTGGGGCAACCATTAGCATGATAGATGGTTCTCCATCCCCTTAGTTTCAATCTGAATGTGACTTTAGGTCTAAAATGGGGCTCTTGTAAACAGCATATAGATGGATCTTGTTTTCTTATCTGTTCTGTTACCATGTGTCTTTTGATTGGAGCATTTAGTCCACTGACATTTAGAGTGAGTACCGAAAGATACGAATTTATTGCCATTTTGTTGCCTGTAGAGTTGGGAGTCTCTGGTGATGCTCTCTAGTCCTTTCTAGTCTTTGTTGCTTTTGGTCTTTTTTGTTTTCCTTTGTCTTTTCTCCCCTCAGAGAGTCCCCTGTAAAATTTCTTGCAGGGCTGGTTTAGTGGTCACAAAGTCCTTTAAATTTTGTCTGGGAAACTTTTTGAATGACAGCCTTGCTGGATAAAGATTTCTTGGCTGCATGTTTTTCCAGTTCAGCACGTTGAATATATTCTGCCACTCCTTTCTGGGCTGCCGAGTTTCTGTGGATAGGTCTGCTGTGAACCTGATCTGTCTTCCCTTGTAAGTGAAGGACTCTTTTTCCCTTGCTGCTTTCATGATTCTTTTTTTGCCTGAGTATTTTGTGAATTTGACTATGATATGCCTTATTCATGGTCAGTCTAATGGGAGTTCTCTGTGCTTCCTGGATTTTGAGTCTGTGTCTTTCCCCAGATTAGGAAAGTTTTTGGCTATGATTTGCTGAGATAAATCTTCTACCCCTTTTTCTCTCTATTCATCTTCTGAGACTACTATGATTCAGATGTTATTCCTTTTTAATGAGCTACTGAGTTCTCCAGTTCTTACATCATGCTCTTTTGCCTTAGTTTCCCTCTTTTTTCTGCTTCATCATTCTCCATAATTTAGTCTTCTGTATCGTTAATTCACTGCTCTGCTTCATCCATCCTTGATGCTGTGGCAGCCATTTGAGATTGCATCTCATTTCATTTTTAATTTCATCCTGACTAGATTTGACTTCTTTTATCTCCACAGAAAGGGATTTTATGGTTTTTTCAACTCCACCTAGTATTCTTATTATAGTGACTCTAAATTCTGGTTCAGACATCGTGTTTATATCTGTGTTGCTTAAGCCCCTGGCTGTCATTTCTTCCTGTTCTTTCTTTTGGGGTGAATTCCTTCTTTTCGTCATTTTGGAGGAAGAAGAAGAAGAAAGTAAAAATTAGGGGCGCCTGGGTGGCTCATTCGGTTGGGTGTCCACTTTGGCTCAGGTCATGATCTCGTGGTTCATGGGTTTGAGCCCCACGTCGGGCTCTATGCTGACAGCTCAGAGCCTGGAGCCTGCTTCAGATTCTGTGTCTCCCTCTCTCTGTTCCTCTCCCACTCGCACTCTGTCTCTCTCTCAAAAATAAATAAAGATTAAAAAAATTAAACAAAAAAGTAAAAAGTAAAAAATTAAAAATAGCACAAAAAACCAAATAAAAGAAGCTAGATCCTAGGTATGTTTTGGTCTGCTTGTTGAATGAAGCTTGCTAGAATAGAGAAAATAGGGAAAGAAAATAAAAAGAAAAAAAGTAAGAAAAAGTTTAAAAATTAAAAAAATGTATGTCATAAGATAAAATAAAATGAAATGAAGAAAGTAAAGTAGAATGAAAAAATACGAAAATTTAAAAATATAGTAAAAAAGTAAAAATTATAAAAACAGAAAATAAAAATACATTTTTTCTCTTTCTGTATCCAAGAATAACAAAAGAAAAAGAGAAAATGAGTAGATAGACCAGCAAACAGAATGAAATCCGAATGAAATTACATCCAGTTTCTCCTAGAAGTCAAACTATGAAGCACTTCATAGTCTGTACACAGAGCCGGCCAAGAGACTTGTGATGTTCCTCTAGGACTTGGTTGACACAGCTGGACAGGGTTGGTGTAGTGGCTCCATTCTCCACTAGGTGGCGTTGCTTAGCTTTATTGGGGTTGATTGGTGTGGTGTGCATGCGCGTGTGTGTAGGTACGGGAAGGGTGAAAACGGAGTCACCCAGCTTCCCGGTCTGTAGCATCAGAACTCTGTGCTCTCACTGACTGATCATCAGGTACCCCTCCTTTGTCTCTGGCTTCTGTCTACTCCGGCTTCAACACTGTTGGTGACCAAGTTGTCAGCCTGCCAGGCAGCACCTCTCTCCTGAGTTTTATCTCAGATGTGCCTGTGTTTCCAAAACCCTGAGTTCTAAGGGCCCTGTTGCTTTGGCCTGCTCAGACCCTCTGGGGGAGTGTCTCGCCGAGCAATGGCTGGGAGCTGGCTTGCTCCCAGGAATGCTGATGGCCACCGTGCTGCTGCAGAGGCCTGGAGACTGTGGCTGGGTGTTAGCCCGCCCAGAGAAAGTTCGCGCAATCACGTAGCAGCAGCGATTCAGGGGTTATGGCAAACTGCAACACACATCTGGTGCCAGGCTTCACCATAAACGTCCCTGTTCCAACACCAGCAAACGTGGCTGTTCTCTGGGGCCCACTGGGACCTTTCCCGGTGGGGAGGCCACACAGCCTCAACCAAGTGTCCTCCCAGCAGGGGAACTGCCTCTCTCCATGTGGCCCGAGGACCCTTGGACCTTGCTGTCTGCTCCCAGGGGATTCATCCTTTCCACCAGAGCACCACTAGCTGCAGAATTTCCTACCCTGCACTCCCCTGCTTATGGAGTGTAATGGTGTTGTGAAACCCTCTCCTTTTTCCTTTTTCCCTTTTTTGTTCAGTCTCTTGGGGCTGTTTCCACTCTTCTCTTTCTCTCCAGCTGCTTTTGAGGGGGGTGCTTTTCCTGTACTCTCCCCCCCATCTCTGTCCTCTCTCCACAAAAACAGCTCTCTACCCTCAGAAGCTTCTCTCTCCCCCAGTTCACCAATCCATGCCGCGTACCTGCCGAGTTCTGTGGCTGAAGTTATGCAGATTGTTGTGTTAATCCTCAGATCAGTTTTCTAGGTGTGCAAGATGGTTTGGTGCTGATCTAGCTGCATTTCAGGGATGAGAGAAGCAGAGAACTTCCGTGCTCCTCTGCCGTCTGCTAAACTGATTTTTAACTAAAGAAGTCGTATGTCATGACGGCCTTAAGAAAGGTTTCAGGAGGGGGCACCTGGGTGGCTCAGTCGGTTAAGCATCCGACTCTTGCTCTCAGTTTCATGAGTTTGAGCCCCACGTCTGCCTCTGTGCTGACAGCTGGAAGCCTACTTGGGATTCTCTCTTCCTCTCTCTTTCTCTGCCCCTCCCCCACTCACCGTCTCTGTCTCAAAATAAATAACATTAAAAAAAAAGAAAAAAAGAAAGGTTTCAGGAACATGGAAGTGCATTGGTTACCATGGGGGTGATGGGCTTGGTCCTTCTACGTGTTGTAGGCTTTTTGCACATCCTCACAGAACACAGCTTTTAAGTTTTTCTATCTTTCCAATTCTTCTTAGTTGTTTTCTCCAGTTAATGTTCACATCTGTGTGGTTTTTTTACTTTTTTAGTTTATTAAGATAATTTTGTGGTAAATTAATTTATGAACAATTTACAGATATTTATTGTTGTGTGTTCCTTTGTGTCTGTGTATTGAAGTTTGATGTTCTGTGTGCGATGGTTTTTATCGCACCTGGGTGATTTTTTTTTTTGTTCAGAGTGACTGTTGAACCATTGGTCACTTAAGCTTGTTTTTAATTACAAAAGCAATACATGTTCATGGTGGGGGTTCAGAGGCATGTGAGGGACAAAAGCAGAGGAGATGGTTCTGGTTACCTGCTCTTCCTATGCCCACAGGGCATTGTGGGTGCGTGTTTGCAGTGTGTGTGTGTGTGTGTGTGTGTGTGTGTGTGTGTGTGTGTGTGTTTGCGCGCTTGCACACTTATAGATTGGGATCATGAAGCATATATGGTTTTATGTCCTGGTATTTCTTTTTTTATGTTTATTTGTTTATTTTGAAGGGTGGCGCAGGGAGAGAGAATCCCAAGCAGGCCCCATGCTGTCAGTGAGGAGCCCAATGCGGAGCTCGATCCCATGACCCTGGGATCATGACCTGAGCCGATTCAAGAGTTGGACACTTAACTAACTGAGCCCCCAGGCACCCCTGTCCTGATATTTCTGTTAGTGGTTATCGTTGAGCATCCTTTCCATATCTTACTAGTCTTTGATAAGGTGACTTTTAATGAGTTCTGTGTTTGATCCCATAGATGTATGAGTGCTTTCCCAATAGTGTGCTTATTTTCCAGTGTTTTCACTGTTCTGAATGGCAGGAGCACTTCGAGACCTCATATCTCCATGTGTTTTTCTTAGGTGGCTGAGCTGTACGGAGAATTGAAGAACCGCGTCTCTCAGTTCAACATGTATGTTGATTCGCGGCGGCCTGTCATGGACCAAGAATATGTTCATAAGCAGCGCTTCATCCTGCAGGTATGCTGGGGTTTCCTGGATATCTGTCCTGATTCTTTCTTCTTGCCAGGTGTTGTGGTTGAGAGCGCACGCACTCTGTCTTCCTGATATAAATCATGTCTCAGCAGAGATTTTAGGTCCGTGATGTTCATCCTGCTTTGGGGGTTAGGAAACATTCTTACCTTGCATAGTGTAGGGTTTCCACATCATCAGGCTGGTCATCCAGATCCATTGCTAATCTCCAGAGGCATGTTTCTATAGCACGCCAGCCATTGTTCCTGTTTCGGGAGGGGTCCTTGGTTTTTTGCTTTCAAGAAACGAAAAATGTTCTTCGTGTTATTCAACATATATAGCTATTCCCTTATACTGAAGATACTAACTTTGGAGGCCGTGATCAAGTTAGCTTGTTGGATGGGACCTTACGGGGATTTTGTGGAAGGAAGCACAGCCTAGAAAAGTGGCTGCTGTTTCCACTTTGGGGTCAGGAGGAGGAGGACGTCTGTGTGCATCAAGCGCGTCGAATTGGGTTGACGGAAGATGTCTGCAAACAGAATGATGCCAGAAGACGGTGTTTTTCTGGGTTTCAGATTGCTTTAAGGAGGGAGAGTCTTCTGTGAGTGTTTGTTTCGAATGATATTTTGATTGAAGAAGGGACTCTGCAGAGTGCTTTTTAGAAGTGCGTATTGGGGCGCCTGGGTGGCTCAGTTGGTTAAGTGACTGACTTCGGCTCAGGTCATGATCTCACAGTTTGTGGGTTTGAGCCCTGCTTCGGGCTCTGTGCTGACAGCTGGGAGCCTGGAGCCTGCTTCGGATTCTGCGTCTCCCCCTCTCTCTACCCCTCCGCTGCTCATGCCCTGTGTCTCTCTGTCTCTCAATAATAAATAAATGTTAAAAAAAATTAAAAAAGGGGAGCCTGGGTGGCACAGTCGGTTAAGCATCCGACTTCAGCCAGGTCACGATCTCGCGGTCCGTGAGTTCAAGCCCCGCGTCGGGCTCTGGGCTGATGGCTCAGAGCCTGGAGCCTGTTTCCGATTCTGTGTCTCCCTCTCTCTCTGCCCCTCACCCGTTCATGCTCTGTCTCTCTCTGTCCGAAAAATAAATAAACGTTGAAAAAAAAATTAAAAAAAAAAATTAAAAAAAAAACAGAAGTGCACACTGGATGTGTTTCTTGGAGTGTGGAGAGGGGCCCTTCCTATAGAGGGGAGTTTGCTGGGGAGCAGGTAGGAAAGTGTGCAGAGTCATTTGTACCCTCACTCGTACTCGGCACTGTTTCCTAGCCCTCCTTCTGAGATGGGCTCCATGTCCTTTGAAGAAAGACTGTGTCTGGACTGCTGCTCTTTTTCCGGTAAAATAACCAGAATTGGGACTTTCGGCTCAGTTGGTAGAAGGTCTAGTTTTTTTTAATGTAAGCTCATTTTTTTTTTTAATTTTTTTTTTCAACGTTTATTTATTTTTGGGACAGAGAGAGACAGAGCATGAATGGGGGAGAGGCAGAGAGAGAGGGAGACACAGAATCGGAAACAGGCTCCAGGCTCGGAGCCATCAGCCCAGAGCCCGACGCGGGGCTCGAACCCACGGGCCGCGAGATTGTGACCTGGCTGAAGTCGGACGCTTAACCGACTGCGCCACCCAGGCGCCCCATGTAAGCTCATTTTATACCTTACAGCTGTTAACATCGTTCTGGGAAGAGATTTGTGTGTTGGTGAGACAGACTGATAAATAATGTTACTTCATGGAAGTACAATTCTCTTCCAGGTTGTATTGGCGGGTGCTTTTTACCCAAATTACTTTACTTTCGGACAGCCTGACGAGGAGATGGCGGTGAGGGAGCTGGCCGGCAAAGACCCGAAGACCACCATCGTGGTAGGTGCTCCATTTCAGTGTGGCCGCTACAGAACGTTGTGTTTCTCCAGGTGTTTCCACTGTTACAAGTACCTGGTGGATTTTTGCCTCTCACGTGGATATCAACAGCTTGTTTGACCTTTTCACACACATCTACTTGCCCTCAGTCTTGCTTCCTTTTTTGCAGACCTGGCCTGGAAAAATAGCCTTGAGAAGTTACATATTTATGGCTAACTGATAATGTGCCCTTTTGAAGGATTTAAGACCCTTCTCCATAAGGTTAAGAATATTTAGTTAACAATTTCATTTTACACAAAGTGAAATGTTATTGGTTGTCAGATTAGGACTGTGATTTAAACTGATCCACAGACCTGAATGCCCAGTAGAATCACCTAGAGAGTGTTTGTTTATTTTTAAATATTTCAGGGCTCGGGGCGCCTGGGTGGCGCAGTCGGTTAAGCGTCCGACTTCAGCCAGGTCACGATCTCGCGGTCCGTGAGTTCGAGCCCCGCGTCAGGCTCTGGGCGGATGGCTCAGAGCCTGGAGCCTGTTTCCGATTCTGTGTCTCCCTCTCTCTCTGCCCCTCCCCCGTTCATGCTCTGTCTCTCTCTGTCCCCCAAAAAATAAATAAACGTTAAAAAAAAAAATTAAAAAAAAATATTTCAGGGCTCCATGCCACAAAATCTGAACTAGAAGGAAAGGTCTGGAAATTAACATTTAAATAATATGTGTTTTCGGTGAATCTGATGCTCAGCCATTGGCATGGACCATTGGATGAACATTTGTGGACCGTTTGGTTAAACCTGAGCACGTGGAAATGTCAGGATGCACAGCTGGAATAAAGTACTTGGGAACTGGACTTTCACTGCACCACTCGGTTCTATTATCAGTTTATACCTGACAGGGGGTGTAAAGCCCTCGGTAAAGTGGCTGGCCTACAGTAAGCGCTCGAGCATGCCAGCTTTTTCCTGTTGGTAACGTCGCCACGATCACTGAAGGGAGCAGGTGCACGGGGAGGGTCACAGGCGACTGAGTGTTGTGGAGATCTGGGACAAGCCTGAACGTTGCTGGTGCTCAGGCTGGGGGCAGGCAGCTGAAGGGAATTTTAATGTAAAAAGTGGTCATTAGTCTCTGACCGCTGCTGGGGACTCTGCCCCTGTGGGTCTTCAGGCCGGACAAGGGTCTTTTGTTTGGCTTCCTTGACTCGAGATGTGGTCTTCTCCCCTGCCCTGTGCACGGCGAGAAGGATCCCGCGGGGTCCTTGTCAGGTTCCAGCTGTGCTTGCCACGAGTGGGGTTTGGGGCCAGACCTTTGCCCTCCATGCGCATTAGGAAGACCAGACGATAGCTCGATAGCTCGCGTTGACTCAGCCCCTACCTGAGAGGCCCTTTGTTACGCATTTTATATTCTGCTTCCCTGAGACTTGCACTGACCCCTCGATGTAGGGACTTACCCTCATCCTTACTTCTTGTGGTGGGTGAGTCCTGGGGCGATTCCATACCTTGCCACTGGACGCTTGACCCGGCAGCTCAGAACCGGGGCTTCTCGCCCCCCCGCCCCCACCTCTCGCGGCCTCTCCTGGGGCCTGGGACCGCTGGTGCAGGGGCCCCAGCTTTCCTGCCCAGCCAGAGCCTGGAACGCTGATCACCCAGACCGAGGGGAGAAAGCAAGCAGTCGGGGCCGGGAGGGGTTTGCAGCTCAGTGTGCTTGACTTGTGGCCACGGTGTGTGGTGCCCCTCGGGCCCGTGGGGCAGAGCTCCTGCTGGTTCCCTTCGTGTACGTAGGAGGGGTTGTGCCAAGAGACGTGTTTAGTCAGCTTGCTTGAAGTAAAATAAAAAAAACAGCTTTTTTTTTTCCTGTTGGACTTTTGTATTATTTTGGCAGAGAAAGAGTTAGCTTTTATTTAGCATGTATTTATTGTTGAAGCTTAGTTACGATGTAAAAGTCATTAGTCATTAGGTACACCTGTCCGTACAGTCTACATCTTATGGTTAAAGACAGTAAACTATGTTTTCGTGAACTAAAATAATGTGTAGCGGCTTTAGCTTGTGAACAGTTAAGAACATCGTAACTGTTTCCTTAGCTTCTACGTCTGCTCTGATGCTAAAATACCAATACTAAATACTAATCCTGCTTTATGTGTTACAGTTGAAGCACATTCCTCCCTATGGATTTCTCTACCATAAACAACTACAGTCTCTCTTTAGACAGTGTGGTCAAGTCAAATCCGTTGTATTCGATGGTACAAAGTAAGTATATTTTTGCAATCAACTGTAGTTATGAAAGAGCCGTAACGTTCTTCGTGTTTGCGGGAACGAATCCTTAAAACCGAGTATGTAGAAATGGGTCTCTGTTCGGGCTGTTCCACGTGGCCGTGGAATGTGGCTTTGGTCCGTCTTGTTATCAGTCGCGATTTCTCTTCTGTTTCAACCGCGTGGCCTCCTAGAGCAGCTAAGCCGTGAGCCTGTGGGTCTGCTACCGACAAGGCCCGGTGACGCCCTGCGGTGCCGGGACGGTGCTCGGGGAGTCGCCTGCCCCTAGGTGGTCACGGTGCATCACTAGTGATAGGTTACTTTGTAGGCCGTGGAGACACCCCAGGATCGGGCCTCCCTGCTTGTAGTTACTCAACACACGTGTGTTCTAATTGTTTTTGGCAGACAGCACTGCGGACGCTGAGTACGTTTCACCTTCTCTGAATTGCAGGTATAAGGGAGTAGAATGGCACGGCTCAGAGTGTCCCTTTGAGTTTTTATTTCTAGGAGGGAATGTTTGTGTGAAGAAAAGACTGGGGTTTTAAATTGATTTTTAGTTCTGACATTGGAGATTTTTTCTGGTGGTCTATAAATTGTTTGTATTAAGCTGATGTCAGTTTGGGTTAGTTTTTCAGACATTGTAAGTTCTGTTCCTGTGATTAATACATCGATTTTCATAACCTGACACGGTCTCAATGCTGTCCACAGCAGTTACAGATTGAACTAGCTTAGCTTATAGTATCTCAAGTCTTCTTAAATATTCAAACACAAATTACACTGAAATTGTTTGTTTGGGGGGGGGGGCACGAGTGAGCAAGGGGCAGAGGGAAAGAAGCAGGGCTCACCTAAAATGAGGCTCGAGCTCACCCGACGTGGGGCTCGAACCCACGAACCGTGAGATGTGAGCTGAGCCCATGTCAGGTGTTTAACGACTGAGCCACCCAGGGGCCCCTCAGATTACGCTGAGATTCTTCATCAGGTTTACAAATCACTTATTTAAAACTGGAGCCACATGGCGAAGCTCTCTGTCCTGACTCCCCAGGCGTCATTGGACCTTGTTGGTAGCGGACCACCAGGCTCACAGCTTAGCCCCTTTAGGAGGTCACTCGGTTGAAAGAGAAGAGAAATCGCGTTTGCCTTGGCTCTGGCTCCAGTTGTGCGTGGGTGATCTTTGCCGGGTTTGAGTGGCCGGCAGCCAACAAGTCTGATCTTGTCACTGGGTTGGAGCCCATGTCTGTTTCATATTCTTCCTGTCTGAGCCTTTTTTTTTTTTTTTAATAGGTATTTTAATCCTGTTTTACACGATTCCTTGTTTCTGGCTTTTTAGCCACAATAGCAATGTCATGTCAGTTATTGGAGGTGTAACTGTGCTCTTCTGATTGTACCGGGAGCCGTCCTTGTGCATCGAGTGTGTAAGGACAGAGGATGACCCAAATCACTATTTGAGGGAGTAGAGGCTGTGTTCCTTATGGGGTCACGCAGGGCTTTCTTGAGCGAGGAAGTGGTGTCAGGCGTGAAGGGCCTTCGGGCACAGGTGGTAAGTTCACAGGCACAGTGTCTCTTCCCACGTGGAGCTTCCAGCCTGGCGGTGGGGTGTCAGCTTAGTTGTGGGGTTCCACAGACATTTGTCCGTCTCGGACTGTCATCAGGGAGGCCCAGTCATGTTCACTTGGGACGTTCCGAGGAGGTGTTTGAGGTGGGCGGAGGAGGTGGCTGCTGGGGCAGGAAGAGGCACTGCTCCCGTAGGGGCCCAGCGCGAGCCCAGCTGGGTCTCTGGAGAGAGTGGGGTGCGCGCGAGGCCAGGGCGGAGGCCGGGTGGCCTGCAGCTGGTGTTGTGTCAGATCTGTGTGTGTCGTGGAGGTCGGGTGTTCTATGCCGGATGGTAACTTTGTGGCCACCTGGCCAGGATGAGGACGGATAGACGGGTGTGTGGAGACCCCCGGGTGTCGGAGCTGCGCCGTTTTGTAGGACGTGATCAGAGGACGGAGAAGAGAGGGAGCCTTGGCAGTCGTGGAAAGCAAGGTAACCCTTGACACCAAGGAGGCCACAGGTGAGACACAAGATCTCTTGAGCTTGGTTGTTGGTCGTGTGTACAGGACAAAGGGGATGGGGGTCCACGAGGGCAGGTCTTCCAGACTTCCAGACAGCATTGAGTGGGAGGGGGCCGTGAGGAGCGGCCCCCCGGCAGGAGGGGCGCTGGCGGGGGTCCCATGGGCGGGAGTTCAGAATCTGCTGTAAGATGGGCATTCTGGAAGTGTGGCCTCAGTGTGAAAGAAGCTTTCTGAGGAGAAACTCAGGAGCCGGCTAGAGAAGGCGACAGAACAGGAGGGGAGCGAGTTGGGCACAGGCCAGTGCGCGTGCTCAGCGGGGAGTCCACCGGGAGGCGGGGGAGGAGGGTGGTGGGGGGGGTGCAGGAGGGTGGAGGACAGCCGGTGCTCCCGGGGCAGCGGGCTCAGGCTGCAGACAGGCTGGGCGCAGGGCCGAGCTAGGGGCTGACTTTCGTCCCTGCCGGCCCCTCCTCACCGGCCGCGTCCTTCGCGGGGCTCAGACGTCCACATTTCCGTGACGGTACTTGGAGGGGTCGTAGGTCTGTTTGCATGACGATGATGTTTTGACCCAGGGCATTCGTGTACAAGCAAGTGTGAACTTGAAGCTTTATTTATCCCGGGAAATGCCCAGCAGACGCCCTCAGCGCACGCTCGGTTCTCCTCCGGCAGGGATGTGGGAGGCCTGGTGGCGAGGGGTGTCCGCCAGCCCGCCTGGGGGGTCAGCCCGGTGCTGTTTGTGGAGGGGAGCATGGAGAGACTGACCTCTTCTTGATTTTCTGTCCTCTGTGTTTAGTTTACAGTAAAATAGAAAAACCGTGGGGGCTCACGGAGCCGTCATCCTGTGTTCGCTGTGAGAGTCAAGATTCCTTGGCTGAAAGTCTCATTCGCACTTGGCGTGCGTCCTGCGTTACGTGGGGGAATTCATAAGGGTGGCGCTCGGTTTTACCGAGATGACAGGTCCTTGTGATTTCTGTTTCTCTTAAGTGGGTAGTTTCATTTAAGGAAAACTTCTTAATTGTGGAATGAAGAGTTTCTGGTATTCTGAGGAGAGGTGTAATTAAAAACGTCCATCTCATTTTGAGAGAAATTAATATGCATTCAGTTCTCCTTTTCAGGCTCCCGATGAACTGATTTTTTCTTTACGTTTGTGGAGCAGAGCCTTCGTGGAGTTCTCACGTAATCCGACAGAGAGGTTTAAAACTCTTCCCGCGGTGTACATGGCGATCAAGATGTCTCAGCTGAAAGTTGCCCTGGAGCTGAATGTACACTCTGCAGAGGAGATCGAGGGGAAGGTCCAAGGAGGGGCGGTTTCGAAGCTCAGGAACACAAGGTATTTTCAGAAGGCGGGCGGGCACCCCTGTCTGCCTGCTGTCACAGTCTCAAATACGGCCGTTGTTGCTTTTAAGGCTTATTTATTCTGAGAGAGAGCGTGTGGGTGGAGGAGAGGGGGGTGGAGAGAGAATCCCAAGCAGGCTCTGCGCTGTCAGCACAGAGCCTGACGTGGGGCTCGACCTCCCGAACCGTGAGATCGTGACCTGCGTCGAAATCAAGAGTCAGATGCCGAACCGACGGAGCCACCCACGCGCCTCTCATTTTCGAAGCAAAGTGGAGTATTCTTTGTGGTCGGCAGAGTGGATGGTGGGACAAAAACGGAGATGCGTTGGGAGCACCTCGGTGCCGGCCCACACCAGCCACCCCTTCCTCTTGACGGGGGCTCTCCCTCCAGCCTCGTTTGCTACAGGAAGGCTGAGCTGCCCGCGTGGCGGCCCCAAGCAGTGGCACTCGGCACTCGGCAGATGCTGTTGGGCGTATGGATTTGATTCTCTTGGACTGAGTTAAATCACCCTTCGGGATGTAACAGATGCCTTTGCTTTGGGTCACACTGTCCCAGTACCGTGTGGAGGGATTCTCAGTCCTCATTTAAAAAACAAATTTTAATGTTTATTTGTTTTTGAGCAAGAGAGAGCACGAGTGGCAGAGGGGCAGAGAGAGGGGGACACAGAACCCGAAGCAGGCTCCGGGCTCCGAGCTGTCGACACACGGCCCGACGCGGGGCTCGAACTCACAAGCTGTGAGATCGTGACCTGAGCCGAAGTCGGACGCCCAACCCAGGCGCCCTCAGTCATCATTTCTTATTTGTGATCTTTTTGATTCTGTGAGGACCTTGACAGGAATTTGGAATTGGTGAGGGAAGGAAGCACGTCCCATCGACAACTATTCCATGTTGAGGTTTTGATTCTGAGGCTCTGAAGGTGCAGGGAGTTGGGTCTGTAGCCCAGGGAGGGTGTGTCCTGCAGGGAGCTTTGCCTGAATCACCCTTAATAAGTGGGTCTGAAAGCTGGGCAGAGTTGGGTTAGGATCTCTCATAATTCTTCCACTTCATTTTAGAAAGAAAGTGAAAGAAAGTATTAGGAAAGGGGAATTGTATTTTTATCACATTTGTATTTCATGTCCTCAGACTTCAGCATTTGCTGTCTTACTGTTTTAAGAGATGAACTATGTCTCCATGGTTTACTAGAAAATCACGTATGTGTTTTCTAACATTGAACCAGGCATGGATTCTCGTGCTTTAGGAAAAGTCAAAGTCACTCACCTCTGAAACCAGAAGTTAGGAAATATGGCAGGTCTTAGAATGTGTGCCCTTAAAAGTAGGTCTTCTGTAAGAGTCTAGACCTTTAGAATACACCCCTGGGGGTGGTGTATAACCCCTGGATGCACGCTCCACCCCCCCCCCCCCCCCCCCCCCCCCCAGCCCCGGGCAGCTCGGGAAGCCATCACACACTCAGATTTGGGATGAAATCAAATTGTCATTGCCAGCTTACAAGATGTTCTTTTCTTGTGTTAAAATGGTTTTTTCTTGTATAAGTAATGGAATAGTTTGAGCAGTAACTTCACATATGTAAACGTGTTTTCTTTGTAACACCTGACTTTTATTGTCTTTTTTTTTTTTTTTTTTTAAATCACATTACATAGGGTGAATGTGGACTTCCAGAAGCAGACAGTAGATCCTATGCAGGTCTCATTTAACACATTCGACAGGTCCCAGACAATTACAGATCTTCTCTTAACAATTGATGTCACAGAGGTGAGATGGTGTGTCTGAATCATTAGAGCTTTTCTGTCTTTTTAACCTAGGATTGTCATGCTGTAGACATGAAATAGTGCATGTACTTGTACACACAGACACACACATGCACACAGCCTGTGCACCTTAGTGATCTAGTAAATGTGGGTGGGCTTGCATTATTGTACTTGTTAAATGGAAATGGAACTGTAACAGAAAATGAAACACAAATATTCTAGAATCAAAGTCTAATTTTTAAAATGTTAGGTACATTTAAAATGCCACTCTGTCTCTCAAAAATGAATAAACGTTTAAAAAAATGTTTAAAAAAGCGGGGCGGGGGGCACCTGGGCGGCTTAGTGGGTTAAGTGTCCGACTTTGGCTCAGGTCATGATCTTGTGGTTTATGAGTTTGAGCCCCGCGTCAGGCTCTGTGCTGACAGCTCAGAGCCTGGAACCTGCTTTTGGATTCTGTGTCTCCCTCTCTCTCTGCCCCTCCTCCACTCATGCTCTTTCTCTGTAATTATGTCATAAAAAAAAGTTTAAAATGCTAAAACATTAATTTCGACCTGACACGTGAAAATGTTCATTGGCACAGTGACGCATGCCTGTATTATTCAGTTTATGTCAACAGAACTGCCATCAGCATCATCATTCTTTAAGGTAGTTTTTACTACTTTTTTTAATTGGATGCTTATATATTTTAAGAGAGAGAATGAGTCTCAAGCAGGCTCCACGCTCACATGGGGCCCAATGCAGGGCTGGATCCCACAACCCTGGGATGGTGACCTGAGCGGAAACCAAGAGTTGGTCACTCAACCGACTTAGCCACCCAGGCGCCCCTCCGTCTTAAAAAAAATTGCAGTGGAAATACATGTCTGCTTCCTGGTAAATCTGGCCACGCTTCATCAGGAGACTCCACGTAAAAACCTGGATTCCAGGCTGCTGGAAAACTCTGGCGGTTGTGGGTCCTCGCTGCACCTGGCAGCATGGGCAGGGGCCGCTCAGTGAGGCCTTTTTCGATGGAGCGTCTGCTCCTCCTCCTCCCACTTGTCACTGCTCTCGCAGGGGCTGTGCCCTCCCACCACGCCCGCCCGCGCTGCCCCCGAGGGCGCCTGCGGACTCTGCGGACTTGGCTCACCCACCCGGGGCTGCTCGCGGGTCGGAGCCTCTCGTGGGTGAGCGTGCTGGCGAGTCGCACACCCGAGAGGGGTCTGTGACACACCGTGGGTGACCCGCGAGCCCCGAGTGTTCTTGTAAGCACCTGTCAAAAGCCTGTAGGATCACTCGGGTCGCAGTACTGTGTGTCTGTCCTGCCGTGTGGGCTTGTGATAACCTTTTCATAGAAATCGTTTCTGGAGGTCACCTCTGCTTTGTTTCCTTCTTTTTTAGGTGGTTGAGGTAGGACACTTCTGGGGATACAGGGTTGATGAGAGAACCTCCAAGATTCTGAGAAAGCTCACTGCTGAAATAAACCGACTGAAATTGGTGCCGTTGCCCACGCACCCGCACCCGGACCTGGTCTGCCTGGCGCCTTTCACTGATTTTGACCAAGAGAGCTACTTTCGAGCTCAAATCCTTTACGTTTCTGGGAATTCTGCTGAGGTGTGTTTTTCTGTAACAAATCACGCAGAGGGAAGCGAGGCAAACTTGTAGCAGCTTATAGAAGATCTTGTCTAATTTTAAGTGGAAATTATGAAATCGTTTCAGTTAGAAAAGTAGCCTCGCAAAGCAGTTATTCCCGTCAGCCACGTGTGGATTTAAGTTCCGGTCACGAGACTCCTGCGGTTCCGGAGCTCGAGGAGCCGGTTGCGTGGCGTGTGACCCTGTGCTGAAGCGTGTCCTCTCCCCTCCTCCAGGTGTTCTTTGTGGACTATGGCAACAGGTCTCACGTGGATCTGGATCTTTTAATGGAGATTCCCTGTCAACTTCTCGAACTCCCGTTTCAGGTAAGGCGCGAAGTCCCTGCGGCCTCAGTGAGGAGCTGGGAAGGCCTGTGGAGGCCACGTGGCCTGTCCTCCCCCCGCAGGCAGACGGGGCCCCAGACTTGGTGGGGGGTGGGGACTCGCCGTGTCACACCGGCCCACGTCGGTGTCTGCCCTTCTCCAGAAACGTAGTCCTGCGGGCTTGTTGGCGGAGCGAGTTCAGATACGTGCAGGGTTTGGCGCTTAGCGGAAGAGTAGTGGTTCAATTCCGTAGCGTTTTGAATGCTGTTTCCGAGGGGTCTGGTCGTGTTGCGACGAGCCAGAGCCTGGGGGGCCCCGGAGACGCACCCGGGTGCCTTCCGTCCGCACGGAAACGTCCGGAAGGCGTCCTGAACTCCGAACTTCCGTTCCGGTAGAAGAGCAGCCCCGCGTTTCCTTTCCTGCGACGTCCTCACTTGCCCCCAGTTGTGTTTTCAGAGTATACACAACCCTTTCCTTATTTTTGGCGAAGTCTAGTCGACACGAGCTTGACGTTCGTTTCGGGCGCACGGCGTAGAGGTTCCGCCACTCGGCACCTCGTGCCCCACTCGCGCGGGCGCGGCCGCCGTCCGTCTCCGTACGGCACGATCGCGGGGCCGCCAACCGTGTCCCTCGCGCCGTCACCTTCTCTTCCCGCGACCTACCGCGTGACGGGCAGCCTGCCCTTCCCGCGCCTCCTCGGGCGCGCACCCCCCACGTCGACCTTCTCCGTCCGTCCGTCGGTCGGTCGGTCGGTCGGTCTGTGGGCCGCGGCGTGTCTGGGAGGATTTTGACGAGACCGCTGGCGCGGACCCCGGTTCGGGGCCTCCCGGCGGCAGCGTCCTGGGGGAGCGGCTCGCTCGGTCACGGAAGTGGGTCAGCCGCGCCCTTCTGTCCGGTAGGCGCTGGAGCTGAAGATCCGCGGGATGCGGCCCTCCGCCAAGTCTCTGGTGTGCGGCGACCACTGGAGCCTCGAGGCCGGCCGGCGCTTCGCCTCCCTCGTGAACGGCCGCGCCCTCCTCGTGAGGGTCTTCTCCGTGGTGCACGGCGTCCTGCACGTGGACGTGTACCGGTGCGCGGGGGCCCAGGACACCGTCAGCGTGAGGGACGTCCTCATCCAGGAGGGCTACGCCGAGCTCGCCGAGGAGCCCTACGAGTCCAGAGTAGGCACCTCCGTCCTGGTGGCTGGAGGGCGTGTGGCCGAGAGACGGTGGGGGGGGGGGAGGGAGGGGCGGGGGGGGGGAGAGATGGGGGGGTGGGAGGGAGGGGGGAGGACGGGCGCCCTGCTTTCCTCTCCCAGGATGCCGACGGGTGGACAGTTAGTGTGTCTGGCACCGTTTTGAAGGTCTAGGTTTCTTTGACACTAAATCATGGCGGCTGGGCGTCGCTTTGTTGGTTTCCTATCATTAAGCTGTTTTTTCCTTCTTGGAATGAAAGTTAGGTATAGAAAGGTTTTCCATTTGGGGAGTTGTTTTTTCTGTAACGAATTCTAAGATTTAGCTCCCTGATGAAAGTAATTAATAAACGTTTGTTCCAAGTACTTCACGTATTTCAAAATGATTTTCAACCGTTTCTTTCAAAATCCGTCCTGAAGCTATTTTTCTTGGTCGGAAGGCTTCAGAGATGCCACGTTTGAATCAAATGTCGAAGGCCATTCTTTCCCTTCTGTGGCGTCTGCTGAGGATGCAGGGGCTGGGATTAGGGAGAGCGGGGACTGGCAAGAGGGTGGTAGCCGAGAGCCGGCTGGGTTTTGTGTTTGGTTACGCAAAAGCCACTTTAGGGATTCTGGCTGTGTCCCCGTGTGCAGCAGAGACTTTGTGTACGGAAAGTTCTCTTAAGAACTATTTCTCAGTCTCTTCAATTTTCTGATGGCCGAGAGGTAGGGAAGGCTAATGAAGTTGAGCCTTAAACGAGTCCTGTCTTACTTCTTTTGTTTGAAATACTTGACAAGATTTTTTCCTGACCTTAAAGGCCTAGTGGTCAGCCTAGAATAAGGTCCTGCCTGTGAAGTACTTTGATTAGTTTAGAATAAAGTGCTTTCAGTACAGTTTTTTCTTCTGGCAAAATGAACTTTCCTTACTCTCTTCAGCAAAGCCACGAAGCTCTCAAGGGTCTCTTCTCCAAGTCCGTGGAAGACATAGCAGATATGTCTATGCCGTCACCCGTGAAAGATGACAAAAAGTACCTGATTCGGATTTTGTTGGAGAGCTTTTCTTCTAATAAACTGGGGGCTCCCAACTGCAAGGTAATTTATAGGAGTTGTTTTAAAATACAGCCTAGGGGCGCCTGGGCGGCTCAGTCGGTTGAGCCTCCGACTTCGGCTCAGGTCAAGATCTCACAGTCTGTGGGTTCAAGCCCCACATCGGGCTCCATGCTGACAGCTCAGAGCCTGGAGCCTGTTTCGGATTCTGTGTCTTCCTCTCTCTCTGACCCTCCCCCGTTCATGCTCTGTCTCTCTATGTCTCGAAAATAAACGTTAAAAAAAATAATAATAATAAAAATAAAATACAGCCTAAAAACTTAAGATAATTTTACATTTATGTGCTGAGTCGTAAGCCAGTGGTCCCGATGGGTTTTTCTCTTCCTGGTTTTTAATGTTGACACTTTTTTGGCCGTGGAGCCTATGTTAGTGAGGGGAGAAGCCGGGCCTGGCATAAAGACGTTCTTAGTCTAGTTCTTGTGTTTCAACCAGCCTTTCCTAAGGCCGCTGTGCCTGTTTGCCCCGGGGGGAGAGGGTGGCGTAGGGGCTGTGGAGAGCGGGACCCCGCAGGGGTGCCCGCCTGGTGGGAGAAGAGCCCCCCCTCCCCCGCCCCGGGCCGTGTGTCCCCGGCGCTCCCTGCTCGGTTGGGCTGGTCTGGTGCGGTGAGAAGAATACTGTCACTCAGGTGTTGGGCGACATTTCCTTTTTTTGGCCAGTGTCTTCCTGAAGCGTTCCTGTCAAGGAACGCTAAGCAAAGAGTCATCGTGTCCCCAGAAGAGCACCCGTGCCACATCTCTTCCCACCGAACCTGAAGGTGTCGTAGCTGAGGCGTAGCTGTTTTCTTTAACACATGAGCTGATTTTTGCATTTTTGAAATGTGTGTGTTTTTAAGTTTTTAAATGTTTATTTTGAGAGGGAGAGACAGAGCGTGCACGCATGAGAGCGCAAGAGCGAGGGAGGGGCAGGGAGAGAGGGGGAGAGAGTCCCAAGCAGGCTCCGCACGTCAGCGCAGACCCCGTCGTGGGGCCCAGTCTCATGAACCATGATTCTCACGATCGTGACCTGAGCCGAAATCAGGAGTTGGATGGATGCCCAGCCGAGCCACCCAGGTGCCCCTAAATGCATATTAAGTGATAACTCGATTACTGGTAACACTCTGCATATTTTGTATATACAGGCAATACTTCACGGGCCTTTTAACCCTTATGAACTGAAGTGTCACAGTTTGACTAGAATCTCCAAGTTCAGGTATGATTAGCTTAGGTTCCCCGTGGGTTCCTTTTTCCTCTGCTCCCCTGTTTATAGAGCTTTTCAGAAACTAATCTTTATGTCTAAGCTCTTGGGACGTTCCCTTTTCCAGCTCAATCTCCTTCTCTCCTACCTCCAGATCTGAGGTACTCTTTGTCTCTTACATGAAAGCTGTTCTGTGTAAGACCTTTTTGAGAATCTTCCAACCAAGACTTCATTTTTTCTGTATTGTTACTCATTCAGCAACCCTGTGAATGCCACTGTGTTCTGGGAACTGTTTATGGTTTGAGGGGAACAATAGTGACCAAAATGCACTCGGTGTGATTCCAAAATTGTGGGTCCAGGGGGGGTGGTGTGTGAGGGAAAACCGGTCCTCCTGGGATGGGTTGGTGAGGCTCTGGAACATCATGAAAGCATCTCGGAGGGGCCCCTGACCACACCCGGAAGGCCACAGAGGTTTCCAGAGATCCTGTGACAGGAGGAATGCAGGGGAGGCTGAGGAGCAGCAGTGAGGGGCGGTGAAGGCTGGCTGAAGGCGTTGGCCTCGCCGTGACCCTGCACTTCTGAATAAGCGTGTGAGGCTGGCGGGAGGGCAGAAACAGAGGGGCTGCAGAGCTGTGTGGTGAGGGCGAGCTCCAGAAGCGAGGTCTCGACATCTGAAGCCAGTTGGAAAGTCTTACCGTGCCCTTTAAACAGTCGCTTGGCTACAAGGTAAACTGACGGCTGGATGCCTAGAGCAGGCGCCTCTTGGAGCCGTGAGGGGTGCAGCGCTCGGGCCCACCGGCCCTTTGCTAGAGCCTGCGGTTCCGAAAGGTTGGCAGGGGGTCTGTGGGCGCTTGAAGGTGTGCGGAGCACAGTAGGAAGAATACGCTGGATCTCGGAGGAGGAGGTTGTCAGGCAGGAGCGTACTTTGGAGGCTGCCCACTGCTGGAATCCCGGGTGGGGACATCGTGGGCCACGCCGAGTCCCCAGCAGGAGGTGCGGAAACAGACAACTTCATGAGAGCTCCCGGGTGGAGTCAGCAGGCCGGTGTGAGAGTAGAGTCAGTGACACTGGAAGGGGAAGAGCGGAGGAGGGCCTTCCGAGTGGCCACGGGGCCTCTGCTGGCAAGGGAAGGGGGGGCCGGGGGCCCGCCTGCGCCATAGCTGATGGCCTCCAGGTTGGGAGCGCGGGACCCGGCCCCTGGGACGGAGGTGGCGATCTGGGCCTTGTCGGCACGCGGTGTCGCTCGAGGCCGAGCCCTGCGAGAGACGAGGGTGGGAGCTGGCGGTCCCGGGGGAGAAGAGGAGGCGCCAAGGAACGCTGGGACGTTAAGAGGCTTGCACCTGTTGAGCGTGGCGCTCGCGCGCTTGCCTGTGTCTGTCGTGCCAGCTGCGGGTTGGACGGAACACGCTGCCCGGTGGGTGGCTCAGCCTCTGTCTCCTGCCGACGCCCCTTTCAGGTGTGTTTGGATCGAGAAGGAAAGCATCAACTCTGTCATCATCAGCGACGCCCCTGAGGACCTCTACCAGAGGATGCTGGTTGCGGCTTCCCTGTCAGTCAACGCCACCGGTGAGCGGGGCTGTGTTCACTTGCCGCGTGCTCTTCTCCCTGAGCCGCTCTGTTACCAGGAGTGGTTTGTCCCGTGATGACAGCGAACGCGTGTATTTGTGCCACAGTTGGAGGCCATTTTCTGAGCGCGCCAGCTGCTGCGAGGCTAAGAGATAGAGCATCACCTTTCCTTTTATACGAGGGTGCGGGTGTCGGTTTCTTGATGGGCCGGTCATTCATTACATCATGCTTGTCCCCAGAGTAGAACAGGGCTTGGCCCTGGGACAAAGCCGATGGCCCAGTGAGAAGGAAGGAGGGGAGAGGAGAGGAGAGGAGAGGAGAGCAGGCAGACAGAGGTCTCCGGCAGGTCTGATGGCGTCCGCTGTGGGGTGCCGTGGGGTGCATCCATGGAGTGGACTCCGCGGAGCGGGGGACACGGGACGAGGGGTGTGCCAGGAGGGCGCGGGGTCCTGCAGAGCAACTCTCGCCCCTGACGCTGCCTTTGTTGCCCGTCCCGCAGGGTCCACCATGCTGCTGAGAGAGACCTCTCTGATGCCCCACATCCCCGGCCTCCCGGCTCTCCTCACTGTGCTCTTTGCACCTGCGATGGAGCTGAGGTGCGGGGCTCGTCGTCCTTTAGTCCGGGCTTCGGGGAGCGAGGACCTGGGTGGGCGAGCGCACCCCTGCGCCCCCTCCCCTGGAGAGGAGACCCAGAACCCCGGCCGCGCCTGCCTGGGCACGATGGGAGCGGTTGCTGCGGGGACACGCCTGCAGTGGGCTCGGGGAGAGCTCCAGTCCCGCGGGGCATGAGTGAGAGAGGGGTTGGGGGAGGGACAGGAGGAGCTGGGAGCGGGCTCGGGGCGGGCGTCCTGTTGGAGAGGGGCCGAGGTGTGACTCTGCTCTCAGGCTCCCGGCTGGCTGTCCACGGGACGCCTGGTTCCCGCCCCCCCCCCCCCCCCCGGGGCTGGTGACCATGGGGGAGGAGGCGCACTGCTGTGTCCTACTGGTGTAGCTCTTTTTGATGCCTCGACCAAACAGTGATTTCTTCTGGAGGCTGTAGCGGAGAGGGCGGTGAGCTGGGGGGAGACCTCGGGGCACCCTTACGTGGGGACAGCCGCCGCGTGAGCTTTTCACTTGAGAGTCGGGGTGTTGCCAAGGAAGCACTCGTGGGCGTCTGCAGAGGGCAGTGGCTGCGGAGAAACGGGGTCTGGTCTCTGGGAAGGCCGCACGCCCCCCCCCGGGACCACCCGACCCTGCCGCTTGCTCGACCCTCTCTCCATGCACCTGCTCGGTCTGCCGGTGTGGTCTCAGATGGTGCTTGTTGCAGTGTAGACGACAGCTGAGTAGGGTCTTGCTTCCCACTGAAAGCGTGCGTTCCTTAGAAAAATCTGGAAAAAGCTGAATGGGAAAAAAGTAGCATCATCATTTTTAAACGTTTAGCGTATTTATTTTCAGTATTATATATATTTTTTGTTTTTAGGTGTTTGTCGTACTGCGTCCTTTTCCACAGATACAGGCATTTTCATGTTATGACGTCTTTGTAATTACCCATTTTAGAAATTGCAGAGTGGACGTAAAATGGCTTTTATAAACACTGCCCTACTCTATTCACATATGTATTTGTTTCCAACCTGCTCTTGTCCCCAAAGGATTTAATATGCCTTTAAATGTTGGAATTGGGCCTCTCTCTAATTTTGCCATAATGAGCTGATAAATATCTTGATGAATGGGGTGTCTTCTGAGTCCTCCGCGGGGCGGACAGACCTGTAAAAACTGCAGCACGTGTCCTTGTCTAACAAGGAAGGGCGCCACCGTGTGGGAGCAGGGGCACGGCTCCGGGAATACCTGGACACTGCACTGTCCTTGCCTCTTACTAGACCAAGCTCCTGCTTCGATTTCCCTGTAAATGTGCTCTTTTGGAGGGTTTGTGTGACTCCGGGTATTAGTTTCAAATCTCCAAAGCGCAAGTGGTTACATGATAGAGACACTCAAGAAATGTGGAAATCGATGGTATTTAAATCACCATCTTTCTAGAACAAAAACAAGCGTCAGAGGGGGAAGGTGGTACTTTGCACGTAGCCCATACTTCACGCTCATTTGGTTGAGTTTAGGTTAAGGGAGCCAGAATGGGGCGCTTTCTGTGACCGCGTGGGGAATGCCGGCCATCCAAACACGGAGGCTCCGCCAGGTGGGCCCACGAGGGGACGGTGGGCTGCGCCTCGTCAGGGGAGCCCTGCCTCTGGTCAGCTGGGGGAGCCTTTTGTAATCTGTGGGGTCAGCAGCAGCTGTGCTTGAGGAGCTTGCGGGGGACGCGATAGTTGACATGGGCGCACTCGGCCTTCCCCCCGCACCAGGCGCCCCGTCCCCAGCGGCCCTCGGTGCAGGGTCCACGCAGTCCTGTCGACGCTGGCGGCCACCCGGGGACCAAGGGGAAGGTCTGCCATCTCCAACGTGGCGTCCGTGGTGGCGGGAGGCGAGGGAGCAAAAGGTCCCTTCGGAGAGGATAAGGAGGGACTTTATTCTCGCACTGGGCGGAGAAAAGGGAGGGCCGCGGTCCCCTCTCCCGCGCCTGGTGGCCGCTGACCAGCTGCAGCTCACGACCCCTCTGCGAGCCCGGTGACCGAGCCCTGACGGTGCTGGCTCCCCTGTCGCCTCTGCCTCCGGTCGCCCTTCGGCGCACCTGCCCCCGGGTGGGCTTCGCCTCTCCTGCCGCCCCCGCCCCGGGTGCTTCTGCGTGGAGAGCCTGCTGGAGCGTTGTCCCCTGCGCCGGTGGCGAGCCCAGCGTCTCCAGGAGTGCGTTCTGCTGGCCGCCCTCACCTCCCGCCGGAGTCCTCACGGCTGGGCAGGGGGTGGTGGGGAGGGCTCCATGGGGCAGGGGTGCTGCGGAGGCCGGGGGAGGAGAACTCTGCTAAAGCGACAGAAAGCCCCGCCAGGCAAACCCGTTAATGGATGACGGCAGTGGATTAAAAGGGAACTTTCACTCTCTCACCGTTTGTTCCACTGACTGGCCGCGTGGCACATCAGCCATCAGCCCTCTGGTTGCTGTGGCAGGGATTCAGCGGCCGCCAGGGACAGCCCTGCGGTGAGCGGGTCTTCAGCAGGAGGCCCGACGGCTCCCGTGGAAACCCTGCCTCCGCCCTTCTGCTCACGTGGCTGGTGGCCCGGGGCCTCGGCTTCTGCTCGCCAGGGCCTCCGCGGGTGGCGTCTGCAAGGGCTCGTCGGGGCTTCCTCGCGGCCTGGTGGTTGGGTGCCCATGGCCAGCGTCCTGACAGAGCTGAGTGGAAGCCGTGTCCCCTTTGATGAGCGACCTCCGAAGCGTTCCACGGTGAGATTTGCTCCGGCCACTGTCCCACTCAGACCTGAGGCCTGGGATCCAAGACCCCACTTCTCACTGGAAAGCGTCCGCTTTGCACCATGAAAACAGCACATAAGATGCGCGCTCCTGACCTCCCTGTCTGTACGGCATGCCGCCTTCTGTATGCCGCCGTGTCATCTGAATTGTTCAGTGTAGTCGTGGACCGTTGTTGTAATTTAAAACATCTTGATCTACCTCTGTTTTTAAAAAGCTGGAGAAAATTGGGGAATACAGCAAAGGTGTCTTTTTTTTTTTTTTAATTTTTTTTTTTTTGATGTTTGTTTATTTTTGAAAGAGAGACAGAGTGAGAGGCGGAGGGGCAGAGAGAGAAGGAGTCACAGAATCCGAGGCAGGCTCCAGGCTCCGAGCTGTCAGCACAGAGCCCAACGCGAGACTCGAACTCACAGACCGTGAGATCATGACCTGAGCTGAAGTCGGACACTTAACCGACTGAGCCACCCAGGCGCCCCAAAGGTGTCTTTAAGTATTGGAAGTGTGAGGTGACTGGAATGTAGAGCGGGAGGGGGTGCTGTCGGGTCTGGCGGGAAGGCTGTGGCGGCAGGTAGACCTGGGCTCCCTGGCTGGCATGCCCCCTGCTGCCTGCCCCGGGGCATGCCAGGTGCCCCTCCAGCTTCTGACGCGTCCCCATCTGTAAAGAAGGGCAGTGGTGAGCTCACGGGCGCAGCACGGTGCCCGGAGACGGTAGCTGCCGTGAGGGATATCCGTCCTGCCCTGGCTGCTCCTGGCAGCATCGCGGGGAAGCCGAAGGAGGCGGAAGGTCCTTCCCCGGGGAGTGGCCTTGGCAGGATTTGGAAATCTCAGTACACTTTGAACAAACACAGTTGTCCCTCAAACAACACAGCCTACTGTTGACCGGAAGCCTTACTGATAACCTGGGGTAGGTGCACACGCTTTGTGTGTTCTGTGTGTTTACGTACTGTATTCACACAATCGGGGAAGCTAGAGAAAAATGTTCTTTTCAACAGATGCCCCCCAAATTTTCCAGTGTATTCATTGAAAAGAATCCGCATATAATTGGAGCTGCTCAGTTCAAACCTGTGTTTAAGGGCGGACAGCACTTTGCAGATTACTATGGTGCATGTTGCAGAATATTTAAGGGAACGTTTTTATAGGGAGGCTTCAGACTGACTAGAGGAACTATGTTTCCTTCTTTGGCTCGTGTAGACAGCTGTAACGTATGAGCTTGCAGGACAGGCTCCTCTTCTGTTGTATTTACTTTAAACGTCATTGTCTGGAGAAGTTGGTTCTAACAAGCATGGCAGCTGTCAGCTCCCATAAACGTGAGCTCCTTTATGTAAGCTGTCTCTGGACGGTTTGCTCGTCTGGCATGTCCTTGCTGTGTCTGCACCGAGCCCACTTGCTTGGATCCTGTCGTGACTTTTGCTGTTGTCGGTCTGAGTTTAAATGTGGTCATAAAGGAAGTAAAAATATTTCTGTGGTCCTGATTACTGTGTCTTAGGGTCCCGTAAGTTTTTAGGATCCTCAGAAAAGAACGAAAGCCGGTGTTTTAATTACCTTTATTGATTTCAGGTGTAGAGCAGATGAGCAGGTGCGGGTCCGTTCCAGGCTGAATATCTGGGGACCGTCCGTGGTGATGAGCATGTGTTGCCACATGTGAGGGCCACTGATGAGCAGCTGTTAGTCGTACTGTTGGTGACCTGGGCTGTTATCTGTGTTCTGGAAAAGTTTTGTATAAACTGAAATAATAGTAAGTGATATTCTATTAAAAACGTGGGGAGCATAGTGTTTATAAAGGAACACTTCAGCAATCATTTTGTATAGCAAATGCTCAGCACCGTATTTACCAGTCTGAATTCTGGGTCTTTGATTTCACTTGAAGTGGGATTCTCTTTCATTTTCATTGAAGTGAAAAAGAAGTCTGTTGTGTGTGTATGTATATCTTTAGGACTAAGAAAAAAGCTCTTTTTTTGCCTAGATTATTTTCATCAAAACGTTGTTGATTAAAAAAAACAAAACTTGGGGCGCCTGGGGGGCTCAGTCCGTTAGGCGTCCGACTTGGGCTCAGGTCACAATCTCGCGGTCCGTGAGTTCGAGCCCCGCGTCGGGATCTGTGCTGATGGCTCAGAGCCTGGAGCCTGCTTCCAATTCTTTGTCTCCTTCTCTCTCTGCCCCTCCCCCGTTCATGCTCTGTCTCAAAAATAAATAAACATTAAAAAAAACTGATATTAAAAAAAACAAAACTTTATTGATATAAATTATGGGAAAAGGTATTTCATTTTTTTTATTTTTAAATGTTTTTATTTATTTTTGAGAGGGAGAGACACATACAGAGCACAAGCCGAGAAGGGGCAGAGAGAGAGGGAGACACAGAATCTGAAGCAGGCTCCAGGCTCTGAGCTGTCAGCACAGAGCCCCACGTGGGGCTCGAACTCACAAACCATGAGATCATGGCCTGAGCTGAGATCCAATGCTTAACCAACTGAGCCACCCAGGCACCCCAATATCTGTTCATTTTATATTGTCGAGCCTGTTCTGGGCTGTGGTGCTGTCATTTAATCTAACATCTGGGGTGAAAGAAGGAGCCCACGGGCAGAGGAAGGGTCTCCACGGGAGGAGCCTGGCAGAGAGGCCTGTAGGGAAGCCGGGGGAGCTGGAGCCTGGCGCAGGGATGGAGGGAGAACGTGGGTTTGAGATGACCTGGGGGAGCGAAGCGGGCACTGGATGCTGCGTGGCTTGCAGCAGGCTCTGGTTTTTCTCAAAATGGCACAGGAAACCACCCTTAAGACTGGGTTTGTTTTTGTTATAATGATGGGAGGAGAAAAAAAAAAAATCCTGGGTCTGTTTTGAAAAACTAACACTCTCTGCTGCGTGGGAGCCAGACTGGAAGAAGCAGGAGTAGGTGTGGGGAAGATGGGTCAGAAAGGGATCGCATGAGTCTGGGTGCAAAGTGGCGATGGCTTGGACCAGGCTGGTAGCAGCTGAGATGGAGGGGTCACCAGGTTTAAGGATGTGTTGAACATGGAAGTGACAGGGTGCGGTGCTGGAGGGAGGGGGCAGGTTTTGGTTAAAGGAGGATGTAACGCTCTGTGTTGTGTGTACAGCTGTTTCAGGGTAGGAAGGTGGGACATAACATCTTGTAAGCTTCTAAGTGCTAGACTTGTTTCACAAGCCATAAATATTCTGTGGAAACCTCACTAATAAGAATTTAACCCATGGGAAGAACTCGAAGGAAGGAAAAGACTGAATGCGATAAAATAGTCTTTATGTTCTGTGCTGCAGTGAGAAATAGAAACCTAAATAACGGACTGATAAACACATTTACCGTCCTTATAACTACATAGCCTCTGTTGTTTCTGATGTAAACACCGGGAGAGAAAATGCAAAAATAAACAAAATTAGTTGCTGTACGAGGTCTGGCAGAACAATGATTTTATTGGCCAGTTCCTTTAACGTTGAAACAATGGGTTAACAATTTCAAAATACTAACTCTTCTAAAAACTTTTCATTTAGGGTTGATCGGGATGGAAAAAACTATACTGGAGTCCTTTGTGGTTTGGGGTGGAATCCAACCACGGGGGCCCCTATCCTGCCAGAGCATGACATTGAGCTAGCATTTGATGTTCAGTTCAACGTGGAGGATATCATAGAGGTAAGACTGACTCATCAGCACTGTAGTAGTTGCCCGCCCCCCCCTCCCTCTCCCTCTCCCTCTCCCTCTCTCTCTCTTTCTCGGTTGGTTTGTACACCCATTTAACAGCGCAGTGTCTGACACGGACCTTTATTTATTTATTTATTTATTTTAAATTTTTTCTTCTTTTTTTTAATGTTTGTTTATTTTTGAGACAGAGAGAAAGACAGAGCATGAGTGGGGGAGGGGCAGAGAGAGAGGGAGACACAGAATCCAAAACAGGCTCCAGGCTCTGAGCTGTCAGCACAGAGCCCGACGCGGGGCTCGAACCCACAAACCGTGAGATCATGACCTGAGCCGAAGTCAGACGCTTAACTGACTGAACCACCCAGGCGCCCCTGACATGGACCTTTAAAGACACACCTACGTCTCTGGCCCCAGAGGTGCTTGCTGTCCCTTAACCTGCCTATTTTACTTCCCTTTTCTGTAGGAAGTAGCTTCCCAATAGAGACGGTGCTCTCTGAATTTCTCCTGTGGGATCTCTGGGCACAGGAGGCTTTTCTGGGCAGTGGGAGTAAACACCAGGCCAGTAGGACTGCTGGGGATCTCTGTCCGTGCCTCCCTCCGGGTCCATACTAGCTGCACATCCTTGCTGGTCCGCGGTGGGAAGCGAGGAAGCGGAATCCTGCTCTCGGCTTCAGCCTCTCGACAAGGGTGGACGGGCTGCTGAGCGCGTAGCGGTGCGGCCGCGTGTGTCTGTGCGGGGCCGGGACGCGATAAATGTAGCGGGCAAGGTTAAGCACTTAGAAACTTAGGGAGCAGGCTGACAAAGTCATTTTATGGCTTTTGAATCTGATCATGAAAAATGTGGGCTTATGTTTTATATGCTTGTGTTTTTTATAGTTTGTTGTTCTAGTAATTCAGTTTTGGTGCATTTTGCAAAGTGAGAAAGCTGGTCCTCCACCACAGGTAGTTTGAACGGCGCTGCTGTAAAGTACGTGGCCCTTTTCCTTCTCAGAAGTTGCACGAACTAGGTGAGGTCGGCCTAACTGCGTAGAAGGGGGTGGAGGAAGAAGGCAGGCGCTATGGTGAGCTGCGCCGAGCCCGCCCTTATCCCCCAGGGTGCTGTGGTTACAGTTGTCGGTGTTTTCATTTTATTGACTTAACTTTCACTCTAAGGTGTTTTGGGACTTAAAGATACTCCTTGATAGTCCTAATTGTAAAATATAAAACTTCAAGAAGTAAATATAGGAGAAAATCTGGATGGCCTTGGATTTGGAGGGGAGTTTCTGGATGCAACACCTAAAGTACAGTCTGTGAAAGAAGAAAGGAGAAGCTGAACTTTGTCAAAATTAAAACCTGCTGTGCCAGAGACCCGGCTAAGAGGATGAAGAGATGGGCCGTTCACGAGGAGCAAATGCTTGCGGATCATGTATGTGATAAAGGACTTTTATCATAATACGCAAGCCAGTCATTAAAAACGTAAGTAAGCGAAAACATGGACAGCAGCGTCCTAGTCACAAGGAAACGCGAGTTAAGACCATGACGTACATCCACGTGCCCGTTAGAATGGCTGAAATCCAAAAAACTGACAACAGTGCTGGCGAGGATGTGAAGCAGCAGGGACTCGGGACGCAGAAAGGAGGTAGAGCTTTAGAAGACAGAGCACACATCCACCGTGAGACCCGTCAGTCCCACCTCAAAGTGTTTTCTCTAAGAGATTTGAAGACTCACATCCACAGAGAATCCATTTGGCAATGTCGATTGCGTCGCTCGTCGTTTATAATTGCTGAAAGTTGGAAGCAGCCAAGATGTCCTTCAACGGGGGGAGTGCGGGATGGCCGTGGGATGGGATGCTCTTCAGCACTTCAGAGGAATGAGTGGTTGATTCATGCAACGACACAAACAAGTCTCTCTTAAAACTTCTTTTAATGTTTATTTTTGAGAGAGAGAGCGGGGGCGGGGGCAGAGAGAGAGGGAGACACAGAATCCGAAGCAGGCTCCAGGCTCCGAACTATCAGCACAGAGCCCGACGCGGGGCTTGAACCCACCAACTGTGAGATGATGAGCCCTCCAGGCACCCCATGGATAAATCTTAAATGCGTGTTTCCAAGTAGGAGAAGCCAGGACTCACGGGCTACTATTTTAAGAGTCCATTCACGTGACATTCTGGGGAAGGATAAACTAAAGGACAGAGCGGATTGGTGGTCACTCCAGAGCAGAAGGGCTCCTCTCTGGGGTGTTCAGCTGGTGGATGCGTGACCCCGTGTGCTTGTCAACCCACACACAGGCTGCCCCTCACAAAGGAGGGGAACTAAGGTGTGTGATTGAAACACACACACACACACACACACACACACACACACACACACACACACACA